TTTCTTTATTAGTTTTGAGTGTTTATCTTAAAACTCAAGTTTCTTGGTTCTTTGCTCTTGGTGTAAATCGAACACATTTGTGGAGTCGTTTAAATATGTTGGATTTTAAATATATTGGATTTTAAACTATCATACAATTTTTTTCATCGATAGTCTGTAATTGGAACCATAACACTTATTTATTCAAATTGTATTAATATGTAAAGACCAAATGTAACATATATCATCGTTAAATTTTATCTTATAAAACCAGTAGAACTTCAAAATCGTTAAAATTCATGGCTCCCGCCGCATTGTGCGGGTACACAACTAGTATATATATATATATATATATATATATATATATATATTACATATTATAATTTTATTTATTATAATAAAGTTATTTAAACAATATTTTTGGGATAATTTAGTCATTTAACAGCTTTGTTTCAATAATTTAACTTTTAATTTATTTGTTATAACTTTAATTCTAAAAATTGAGTAAATTATGTCTTCCATCCTCATGGTTTGTTAAAACTTGTAATTTCATCCTTATGATTTAAAATTTATGGTTTTTCTCCTCCTCATGATTTGTAACTAATTGCTATTTTGGCTCTTACAATTTCCCATTTATTATTGTAATTATGTATTGCTTTTGTCTCTTATACTTAAAAGATCGGAATTAATCAAAAGACGAAAATAACAATAAATTATAAACCATAAAAACAAAAATAAAAATTATCAACAACACTTAATAATTTAATCTAAAAAATTGTTGTTAATATTAATTTGTATTTTCTTTCTCATACGCATCAAAACAAAATCTATTTTATACATTTTTAATCCATTTATTTGACCTGATTCTAAAGATGCAAATTAATTTGAACCAATAGGATCCACTGCACATGAAATCATCCAAAACGGATCCCATCGGCACAAGAAAAGTCGTGTTCACGATAAATACCCAATTCCTTTTCACTCTCCTAATCAATCGTTCCTCCAGACCCACCACCAACATCCATCGTTGAAGAGTATGATATTTCAACTTCGTTTATGCATCCGTTGCCTCCTTTTGTTTTTTCATCTTCGTGGGTTTTCAATTTAGGGTTCGCTCGTTGTTTACGAAGATAATTTGTTGGTAGAGGGGACTGTTTTCTAATTTCTTTTTGTTCAGAATTTAATAATATCCATTTTATCTTATACGGTGTCATGCTTTTTTTTATTAAACTCGTTGATTTTGCAATTAGGGTTTGTTTCAAATTCAGATTTTGATGTGCTTTTACGAGATAATCTTCCCGTCGAGAAGAGGGGTTTTACTTTCTTTAACGTTTTTTCCTCCATAAGCTTCAAAGACAAGAGTTTCCTCTGATTTGGTGATTTTCGGTTTGTGTAAATTTGATATGTTCTATATATAGCATTTGATCTGTGTTTATTTAGTTCTTGATGAAATTAAGTTGCAATTTATCAAATCCTTGGGTATGATTGATGCTAATTGTTGGTTTTGGTGCTGAATTTGTAGATGGCTCGTACCAAGCAGACTGCTCGCAAATCCACTGGAGGGAAGGCCCCTAGGAAGCAACTTGCCACCAAGGTATCATCTCTTTTATTTATCATATTATCACCATGGGTTTTTTTCATGCATGCTACAGTTGATGATCTGTGAATCAAGTTTGAGTAAATCTTGAACAGATTTTGTTTACTGTAAATCAAATTGAGTAAACCTTGAACAAGAGTTATGTTTACTGTGAATTAAATTGAGTAAATCTTGTAGAAATTTTTTACTGTGAATCAAATTGAGCAAATCTTGAACAAATTTTGTTTACTGCGACTCCAATTGAGTAAATCTTGAACATTTACTGTGAAATGAATGAAGTTGTGTTATTGAATTGTAACCATATGAAGCACAGTAAGTTTGCCTTCAAGTGATGGTGCTTTTAGCAAAATTTACTTCTATTAACTATGAGAAATAAGTTTTTGATCAATGAGATCTACCCATAAATCCATGGAGGAATCAAAACATAAAAAAAGGCAAGAAAGATCCAGGGTGATGATCTTAGAATTGTGAAATAACAATTTAATTTGTAGATATGATGGCAAGTTGGGATTTTATGATTTGTTAATGAGGTACACATTGTTTGCTTCATGAATTAAACGCATGATTTTAGTTTCTACAAGTGTTTTATTGCGCTTTGAGCTTGACTCTTGAGATGGGTGTGGATAAAGATTGTATATTTCACGACAGGCTGCTCGTAAGTCTGCTCCAACCACAGGAGGTGTGAAGAAGCCTCACAGATACAGACCTGGAACTGTCGCCCTTCGGTTTGTAACTCGTTATTTTCTTTAATTTCCGCCATTTTCATTTGTTTTCATGTTTCTTATTTGCGATTTCGGATTGTAATCAGTGAAATCCGCAAGTATCAGAAGAGTACAGAACTGTTGATTAGGAAGCTACCTTTCCAGAGGCTTGTTCGCGAGATAGCTCAGGACTTCAAGGTCATTTTCGACTTTTCAGCATCATTACGACCGAATTTGTGATGGGGGTTAAGTTTATTCATGAAAATTGGTTTTCTGCAGACTGATCTGCGGTTCCAGAGCCATGCGGTGTTGGCATTGCAGGAGGCAGCTGAAGCATATCTAGTGGGGTTGTTTGAAGACACGAATCTGTGTGCGATTCATGCCAAGCGTGTGACGATTATGCCGAAAGATATTCAGCTGGCTAGGCGCATTAGGGGGGAGAGGGCTTAATTGATTGATGCGTTTGGTAGATGGATGGATGGTTAAATAAGAGTTCTAGTTTCTATGTTGTGTGTATACTGTAAACTGCCATATGTGTTTGTTTCTTGAATCATCCAAGGAAGCTATGCTTATGTTTCTTGCATATTTTGGTGTGCCTTTTATTTGGCCATTGGGTTATTATTGACTTAGCAGCGGTATTCAATAACCCAACATTCCTTGAGAAGACACCAAAGGTGGTGAAGAGTGCGAGTTTCAGCCATTTATGAATATTATATACTTTGTAAAACAAAACCCCTTAAATTTCTGTATCAAACAACTTCAGTATTGTGCTACTTTGGTACTAACCGGATAACTTGTAATGTCTACTTCAACCATATCAAACATTGCCTCGTGTTTTCGTATGCGTTACACTAATTTGACATTTACTTTGATCTCTTACATAGGTAGTGCAAGTAGAATTGACAACTTTTTATCAAAGTACGTTATGTAAACGGTATTTTTTTTAAATACGTTGTGTTTGTATTCGTAAATAACCACTATTTTTAAAAGGTTATGAGTTACCCTACACTTCTACAGATTCTTGGGCAAAATTTTGTATATAAATCTCCAACAGCATCTTAAACTAAGTTAAGAAAACATTAAACATAAAGTTGATAAAAGGGAAGTAACTGGTCCATGAAAACAAAGGGATTATTATAATTTGTAAGGATATCATGTTCAATCATGAAACTCAGATCAGATCCTCTTGATGGAATATTACAAAAAAGATGGGAGTCAAATGGTCACATAACTCGAACCGATTCGGTTTTAAAACATGGTTTATTAAGTTTCTCACTGTAATCTCAAGAATTTGCTTCTGGAATTCTTCATTCATTCTACAGAGGGCCTGGGAATGTACCATTCTCTCTTTGTTCATTCCATCTGTCCACCTGCACCATACCAACCATATCAGCTATCAACAACCACCACCACCACCACCTCCTATAATTCTATCAAAAATACCTCTCAATAAAAAATAAATAAAATAAAAACTAGTAATCTCATCGGAATCTTTATTTGCCAACGAATAGGTAACTTCCATTTATAACCGTTCATCACTATTCACTACTATCTAAAGATTGTATTGTAACCTACTTGCATATAAATATATACTACTTAATATATAATTATAACAAAAACCCTGTGTACATTTATGTAGATACAGATATATATATATACATACATAAACACGTTTGTGTGGCAGTGCTTCACCAAGCTTCAAGTTTTTAGCGACTAATATATGGCTGCTAACCAAAGATTATAAAGTTAGGTCTGACTTGGGTAATTCAGCAAATGCTATCCTAATATTTCATATGGTATGGGCGCAAAAGCAGAAAAGAATCAAGAAAACAAGTAGTAGAGGGTCTTCAATCTTTTATAGTTTTCACAAAATAAAGCAAACATTTTTTGAGCCCATAACTATGCAACTTTTTCACCATTTATATGAATCAAGTTTGAGAATGTCTTGGTAAATATGCCAACTATAATCAAACAATTCAATGTGGTTTCCGACATTTTAGGTGAAACAAGAGTGGACCAGTGCCGATCTTAGTTGCCATAATTGTCATATTTCAATTTCTAGGGTTCACAGTAAAAAACTAAGAAAAAGAATGTCGTGGCTGGAACGAGTTTCCAAAGGTAATCTTCTTTTAGCCAGCTATCGGTTTCTAAACATCAGTTGCCAAATTGTTACAAGGTTTAGTAACCAAAATGACTTTTGTCCCCATATGCTTTTTGTTGTTTTTTAATGTTAGTTTTTCATTTCTTTCTGGTCTTGTGGCTATTTTTGCTCACAAAAGGCAGGAGGGCAGAGAGACATGCATAGTTTTACCATCTACACATGTTTTTATAGGCCAAGAAAGTGTGTACATACCCATTCGCCTGGGCAAAGTGACCGATAGTATTTTGCAAACTTATCACATTCAGAAGCATCTTCTCCCTTTGCAGCCACACACCTGATATAACAATCATGAATCAACATAAATAAACTTTAAGAAGTCCCAAACAAAAATAAAAGTTTTCAAGTGTGTTGTGATTGGTAATGGAACGAAGAAAATGGCTTAGCAGGTTAGAAGACTCACCGATGGTACTCAACGTATCTGGTAAAGCAGTGCCTGCTTTGATTTGTAGTTGGAAAACGATAATCTCCAGGGGCTGTCTCCAGCTGTTATTGAAACGACCCATTGGATTAGGTATGTATACATACATTAGTAAATACTAAATATTAACAATGATGGTAAAACAATAATTGAATTTTGTGAAATCAATATAAAAATCTTTCTCTAAAATCAGAACCATTCTCGTCAATATTCAAGTTATAAACCTAACCATCTGACTTGTAAATTTCAGAAGTGAACTCTACTTTTGAGATGGGGGCATAACTAAATAGAAAACATAGAAAACCGATAATATATGATGACGAATATGAGTAATAAATGTTCAATAATTCAATGGATGTCTTGATGGAAACAGTCGTTCTACTCTTTACGGTAACAGTCAAGTCTGCATACATCTTACCCTCCTCAGACCCCACCTCCAAATGGGATATAAGGGTTTCGTTTGGTTTTGATTGGTTCAATAATTCAATGTTCTAGACTCTAGAGAAACTAGTATTAGAATAAAAGATGATGCAAAGCAAAAACTAGCAATCACACACACTGGTCCAATAAAACTAACCTTTATCTCTGGTTTTTCTTCATCGATGTTTCCTTCTTCGGCATTTTCACTGCTTTCTTCGGTAGCAGCTGGAGGCGGCACAGGGACATCCTTATCAGAACTGTCGGTTTCCACGACATTTTCTTCAGCAGCAGCATCAGAACCTTGGCTGCTATCTGCAGATGCAGTGACACTTTCACTGACTGCAGAATTGTCGGAGGACTCGACAGAATCTGTAGCGGCAGGAGACTCAACAGGATCTGCAGTGACAGCATCCTTTTCAGCACTTTTGTCCCCAGGTTCCGTACCTACGTTTAGCTTCTCTTCTATATCCTTAAGAAGATAATCCTGCAAAAATTGGTGTTGAAAATAAGCACAAAATACGACTGCCACGTGCAGTTAGTACCACATACACAAGCTCAAAGAAAAGGCCAAATACGTATGTGATAGAGCCCAACACAATTTTTATCAAAAATAGAACACAAGTGGAAACAAAATTTAATAGGCAGCCGTCTCTCCCTTGACACTCATCAAATATCAAATCAAGCATAATACATAATTTTTCATAATCCCTATTTATAGTTGCTGAATTATGCAAATGCTATGGTTGCTTACTTTGATTATGCAAATACTATTATTTTACTAATTAACCTACACGTAATGCTTATTTTACTAATTAACCCTAAATGTAACCAATCGTGGGTCCAACAGTATGTATTCCATCATCACAGCATTGGTATGATGAAAAAATTAGCAAGCTTAAACTAGTGTTACACGAAAGTAGTGCCACAGAGCAAGAAAAAGAAAGTAAAAGGACCCAAAAAAAACTTGCTAGGTTTTATACTCCATTATCAGAACATTTTGAATTCTGAATTTCTCCCCACGTTTCTCTCTCTACTCTGTCTAGTGCTTGTAGATTTTTACTTTAAAAAAACACTATGCTACCATAAAGATTTGAATTATATATTTCATTATGCTAAGACTGAGTTCAGGTGGAACACTTATATTCAAGGAATGACGACGAAAACACCCACCAGGTTTACTCCTTTCCTTTCCTTATTGTCCCTCATGCTGCAATTTCATCAGTCAATTTGCTTAATCTATATGCCTGCTACTAAATAAACATATCGGGTCAAATGAGGACTAAAGAAGGTTGACTGGAATACCTATGGATGGCCAAGATCATCAGTGAGTCACGTTACCAGGATTTAATTGATTTTCATGATGCTTTGTTTCCACAATAAAGTTACCAGTCACTTGATCGGAAGAGATCTAAATAAAAGAATTCTACCACATTAATAGCATTAGGCTCTGATCCAGCAAAACAACCAGAGGAAAGAGGTGATTCAAAATCAACTCAAGGATTAGGCAGGTACTAATCACAAAATGATTAAAACAATTTTCCACAAAGTTCTACATAGACTCTTTGTGTTTCACTAAATCTACAAGTTTGAGAGCCATGGAACGAGATTCGAAAGAGCAAAAGGAAAGTTAATGAACTTTCGTATGTATTGGAATTAACATTAATGTTAAAGTAACGATGCAAAACAAAAAGGACCTGCCATCCTCTCTCTTTTAGATAGCTAGGCAGGCATAATTATTTTTCGGATATCAAGAGCGTCTGATACTAGGGGCAACTAACTCAGCAGGTGGGGCAGGGTATAACAGCTTAAATCTACTTGCATGTATGCAGCCTAAGAGAAGGTATCAAAAACAATGATAAATCTTGACACTATGTAAGATAAAGAGGCAGGATACACATAAGAAGATTTTGGCACATAGCTTCCATTTTATGCATCATGATCTTATTTTATGTAATCATGTACCATGATTCCATGAATAGCAAATTTGCTTTAATTTTTTTTTTGAAACAACTATTTATATAATTGCTAAAACAATTGCAAACATAAATATGGATTAGACCTATTTTTCGTAAATCAAATAATATGACCAAATGTCCTTTCACCAATGGAATCAATGGATCTCTACAGCCCATATGTTGCGACTTCAAGTCTCTTTAAAGACACCAGTTGTCGGTTTGTTGACAATTTAAAAATAATCAAGTAATACGAACATGTGGTCTAAGCATTAAAACATCACCACAAGGATTGTTCGAGTCCTGCTATAATCGTTATTAAATCTTTACTTGTTAACAGACATATGTATTAGCGCCTATTATATTATTATAATTACAAGTTTGCCTTAAACTTAAATTTTCTTATCTTTTTATTTAATAAGCTAGTTTTGCTTTTGCTAATTAAGGTATTTAAAACTTTTTTCTGTGAAAGAGGGAACAAAATTAAAAAAAGAACATCAGAGATTGGTAAAACACAGAGCATGCAGATAAGTCAGAACACCGCTACCAAAGTAGCAACGGGCAATACTTGCCAGAGTCATGAGAAGAAATAAAAAGAGAAAAAGAGAGATGAGAAAGAAAAGAAAACATGTTTATTGATTCTGACCACCATAAGGCTGAGGATATATGATCAAAACCCTTGCAATACACACGGCAGAAACTCTAGACAGATGAATTTGTAAAATAATCCAGGGTAAAACTAGAAAGACCTATGCATACCAATTCATTCTAACTTAAGCAATTTTACTATTCAATTCATTGAGCAATCCGCCAAAATATGAGAGATTTAGAATAAAATTAGAACATGAAGTAGGATGTGGAATGGCTGACAGAGCCTGTACTAAAATGCATATTTTTATTACATAACCAGCCATGAACCATCGTTAGAGAATCAAACTCCAAAACCACTGATTCAGTTATGCAGAGTCAATCCCTGATTGTGAATAAAGACATGCAAGAGATGTGATTACCACTTTCCACTTTGCTTACCTAATGCTGTATACGGATACCAGTTATCAGCACCCTTTTATCAGCTCATAAATAAATTAAACTTATATAATTGTTCCACTCTTAACCCAAATCCGACAACAGCTTAACAAACTTATACCAGTAATCAATACACCATTCCCCAATCATTGTCCACTCCCAAGAAAGCAACAACGCATATGCTTTCAGGAGTAGTAAGCTTAAAGACATGGGATCATCTTACAGCAAATCAGAATCAGATTTCATGACAAAAGGTTCAGAAAACAGAACCCTGATTGTGAATGAACGAATTACCAAATCGATCAAGCATATTTCTAAGAAAGAGGTATACAACCAATTGATGCTATTCCATACCGAAAACGAAAAAGGAGCAGTATCTACAGTTGACAGATTTTTCAAAGAAAAAAAGCGAAGTCTGAAGTTGGATTACGTTGAAAAGTTTTGCACCTGTGCTTAATTAGATTTATGCTAAATAACATTAAGCATATCGAAGCAAAATCAACAAAGAAGAAAACTTCCACCGATTAAGATTCAAGTCAGACAACATCATAACTTCAAACCAAAATACAGAACATAATAAGATGAAGCACAAATCAGATCAAGAAATGATAAAATGAAATAGACGGAGTACTTAAGATCTAGAAAAACAGGAGAATCGAATTGAGTATACCTCAGATAAAGAGTTGGTCTTATCGGATTCCGCCATGGATGGATTCGGAGTAGAAGATTCGATCGGAACGGAGAAGAAGGGTTAGGTTTCAGATAAGCAGACGCTAGTCGATATGCAGTGTGTCCAAGAGTCAAAATGGGCAGAGAAAACGGAATGATAAATTTTATTTTTCTTTTAAATCTTAAATTGATTTATTTTGACTTTTGAAAGTGATTGGGCCATCTTTTAGCCCAATATACACGGATTGCTCTGCCCCAACCCAATATACACGGATTGCTCTGCCCCAGTCTGGTTTCAAACCTTGTCACAAAATGCGGTGCGCTTTATACAGTTTGTATCTATCGCACTTTATGTCTACAATTCAAAAATTATAAGTTTAAAAAATACATATTATAAAATTAATAATAATAAAGTGATTGTAGTCCAAAAATAAAGTTTAATTAAATTCAATTCCCAGATACATATTGCATAAATAAAAATAATCTAAGAAATAAAATAATAAACTTCAAACTAAATTGAACGTGTGAGTTGTGACGTGTTCAACAGATTTATTAATATTGTCAATTGTCGTATTGGATCAAACTCAAAATTCAAAATACAAATTTCAAAAATGTTATATAAATAATAAATTATATATATGTTGTTATACATAAAATAAAAAATGTATAAAATATGTGGGGCAATGCAGTTTGAACCGTGGTTTAGTCAAAATGGTAAATCGCACCATATAGTGGTGTTTGGTAAAGTAGAAACCTCAAACCGTACCGCTAAAGTTCTAAACCACGCTTTACGGTACGGTGTGGATGATTTGTACGGTTTGACGGTTTTGATGAACACCCCTAAAGGAAGGACTTGGGTAGGAGCATTTTAAACTTTATCTATTTATATTTTTCTTTTTGATGGGTTCAGTTAGGAGGTCCAGGGTTCAACTTTATACACCGTCCTATATGAAGATAGAAAATTTGAGCTCGGCTTGGCCGCGAGAGAGGATGGGTCTGATTATAAGGATTTGTTATAGTGTGATGGTTCACGAGCGGTTACAAGTTCTATGGAATTTCATGATCCAATCCAAGACCGGCAACGTATGAGACCGATTTTCAAATTCTTTTTGAGTTTTTGTAACCTATAAATACAATATTTTATTTTATTTTTCAAAAATTTGAAGTTATTTAAAAATTTCCAAGATTTTATACATTTAAAAGTATAATTTGAAGTGTATTTCAGTGTTGAATTTCAAAAAATGTACTTATGAAGAACATATATGATATTTTTGTGTAAAACGACCAGCATGCCCCTGTTTTATAAGACCAATTATGGCCATCCCCTACATCTATAAACAACGATTTTATCATCCCATAATGATGATAAGACTAGTATGATATGATGAAAACGGTTTGGTAGATGAAATCATACTATATTATCATTTTATAAAATGTTTTGACTTAATATTTTATTTTTATAGGATGATTCTACTAATCACATTTATCATCAAAAACTATAAATTTGGTGGCATCCGCATTTATATTTCACTTCCTTTGTGTATTGATGATTACAAACCGGGTTTTTTGTTCTAATGAGCTTGTTTTGTATTTCAAGTATTTGTGACTTTTAGGAGTACGTTTGAATGTTAAAAACAAAATATAAAAAACAATTATTAAAGTTTAGAGGCGAACTTATAAAACATGCCAAAAAACAAGGCATCCGTTGAAGAATTTCTTGAGAATCACATGAAATGTATTTCAATAAATGTAAGTTGGAGTGATATCGTCACTATTAAATAATAAGGTGGATTTATTTGAATTAGATTGAAAATGTTAAGAATAATAATTATTATTATTGTCTATATGAATACAAAATCAATTGGTATTTTGAAAGCTTGTTTATGGCATATATATATATATATTTCGGGCAATTTTTATCCATCTGGAACTATATATGTAAGTGATCAAGATTTTGTGTTTGGTTTTAGATTTTTTGTTTATAGACTCAATATTTGACGAGCGTGTACAAACATATTATAGTTTAGAGTTAAGTAATCATCAGATCGGATATCATACATTCATATTTATTTCATAAACATTATAATAAAAATAAAACATTGGAAAGTCATGGAAAAGAAAAGGTTATTATATAGAATATTTTAGAAATGAGTATAAGATAACCCAGCCTTGGGCCAAGCGGTTGCATCATGTTCATGGGAAGCAACAAAAGACATGAATAAAGAAAAAGCAATAAAAAATAAAAAATATAGACTCCCGACCCGAGGAGTTAAAAAGGCAAACAAATCATGACTCTTCATTTGGCCTTTTTCAGATACTACTTTAACTGCTATTTTTGACCAATTTCTTTCCATTTTTACCCTCCAAATCCAACTCCACCCCCCTTCCCTTCCCTTCCCTTCCCTTCCCTTATCAATTTACCTACCCTTGATTATTATTATTATTATTAATTAATCATAATTTATATAATTATTTTAAACAAATAAATACTTAATCATGGACAAATTCTAAGAGCAATTTCAGTAGATTTTTTAAAAAAGTTAAAATTAAAATTAAAGACTTTAAAGATTTATATTTTAATAGATTTTTTCTAAAATTAAAGAAAAGTATAAAAATCTCCATATTTAAAAACTTTTAGAGAAAAATATTAATTGTTTTCATCTATTAAAGTTTAAAAGTTTGTCGAGAAAATAAATTTATAAAATATTAATATAATTAATGTTAACAATTTAAAATAATCTTATTTTAAAGTTAGTGTAATTTTTTATTAAAAAATTATATAAAACTATTACAACTTTATAATGTATTAATTAATTTTGAAAAATAGGAATATTTATTAAAAATTACCATTTTTAGGGTTGGTTTCACCTCCTAATCATTTTCTCTCTAAATTTACTATATAGTTATAAGTCCGCAAAACCCACGTGCATAATTGCGAGATTCAGCTAAAAGACAAAAAAAATTACAAATTACATTTCTCACCTAGGTCCGTAAAAAAAATTCACCCAAGTTCACAAAAAAATTAAAATTATAGACTCATAGCTGTTTTGGTAAACCTTGTAAAAAAATAACTAAAAAGTGTGAAACCAATAATAAAAATGGCTATTTTAATTAATTTCCAAAAAAAGAAAAAGTACAAGGCTAAGAAGTATATTTTATAAAGTTATAATACCTTGTTAAAGTAACGAATAAGAAGTATTTTTTTTTGCAAATCAATAATAAAAAATTTAAAAAAATTAAAACTTTTAAAATAAAAAACAATACCCGTAGTTGTTGTAGATTAATTCTTTATGACGGTTACTTATAATTATATTTAAGTTTTTTAAAGAACATTTTCAATTAAATAAAGTTTTTAACCCCAACATAAAATATGGTCTTCGATGTAATTATCTCTCATAATATTTCTAAAAATAACTTTAACCGACACGAAACCTTCAAATCTCATTAAAAAATATGTATTTTTTACAATCGTTTCAAAATCTTTGAATGTAGTCGATACTTTTATGACCTGAATTCAACTAAACCCAACGGATCTACATGTTTCCATGCCTATCATATCATGTAACGTAACTTGCCAAATTACAATTATACCCCTTCCAATACAATGTACCAAATTTTGTCGTTTTGATAGACAAAAAATCAGTGTTTTAGGCATATGTAACGTTTGTTGCTCCCTTCTTCTTTGTACATATCCTCCTCACAAATTTCTTTGTTTTTTCAAAATCTAACCAATCCTATTATGACATCAATTCAACCAAATCCGTTATATCCATGTATTTTCATGACTATAATATAAGTTTCTCTGATAAAATTACCTTTTTACCCTTGATAATCCAGTTATAAATACATGTTACTTATCTTGTCTTTCATCACAAATACAAATTCCATTTATCTCTCAAGATTCAATCAATAATCCATGGTATATACATATATTTACAGCTACCGAAACCGATTGTTGTAAAATGATCTCAAAATTATTGCATATATAAACATGTCCCATTTGGAAAACAAGCATTGGTGTCAAAAGTGTCCATGGTCCATGTGATGTCCCTTGCTCTCTCTATCCTTCTAAGCTCTCATATTCTCTCTCTCTCTCTCTCTCCCTCTCTCTCTATATATAATATCTCTCTCTCTCTCTCTCTCTCTCTCTCTGTTCATCCGAACATATCTACAACGTTAAAAGATGTCTGAATTGATATAATATTGTTCGATTGTCTCTGTTTTTGAGCTCAGATTAGATTAGATTAGATTATACTCTGTTTTATTAAAGTTTTCGTCCCCACAAAGTAATCAATCATCTCTCCAACCCCTTCAAAAATCTGCAACAAATATCCCAAATTTATACAGAAACATCGAGAGAGATATATATATATATATATATATATATATATATATAAGCACACACACATATATATATACACAGAGATAGAGAGAGAGAGAGAGAGAGAGAGAGAGAGCTGTGTGTAGATCTAGAGAGAGAAAGTTTTCACTGTGTCTATGATGGATAAAAGCTGTCATTCATCTGGGGAAGAATCTTCTGCTATAAACCCTAATCTTGATTCTAGTACTGGGATCATCAGTGGCAAAGATCAATACCTGAAACATCTTCATAAATTGTCTCATAAGATTTCTAAACCTCCGATTAGAAAACCCTTTGAATTTGATCATCAGCCGCCGGTGATTTTGGATGAATCTCAGCCGTCCAATCTTCACCACCACCACCACCAGCAACAACAGCATCAACCGCCCGTCTATAATGTCAGCAAGAGCGATTTCCGAGATGTTGTTCAGAAACTCACCGGTTCACCGGCTCACGAACGGGTCACTAATCCGGTTCAACCCGTCAAACCACAAAGCTCTCGTCTACAACGCATTCGTCCTCCACCGTTGGAACACGTCGGAAACCGTCCGCCTCCCAACGCCGTCGCCGGAGGTGTACTCCCTCAGAACCCTAGCTTCCGTCAAGGTCATGTTTCCGGCAACTTCTTCAACAATCAACGTCCACAACAGCAACATCACCAGCCTCTTTCGCCTCTTCCGCCGTTACCAGCGGTACATGCCACGGCGGAATCACCGATCTCCGCCTACATGCGTTGCTTTCAGACCAACGGAACCTCCATTTCTGGACCTTCTCCGCGGTGGAACAGCTTCACTCCTCCTCCACCTCCGCCTCCACCACTAAACACCACCGTACAACCGCGCTCGCCTACAGCGGCGGCGACAGATATTCCGGCGCCGTCGTCTCCTCTTCCGTTCGGCTGTCTACATTCTCCAAAATCACAGTATCCTATGCTATCTCCTGGATTTCCATTCTCTCCGACGAACCAATTCGGATTCCAACAACTAACGCCGTTATCTCCGACTCCTCCGGCGCCAAGCCCTAGATGGAAATCCCTCTGAATCAAGCAAATTCGTAAGTTTCAAAATTAGGGTTTTTGGTTACTGATCTAAATAGATATACATTACAGAGAAATTACATATACATATACATATATGTATATGTATATGTTCTTCATGTTTCAATCTGTGGGGAAAGATCAGTATGCAAGAATAGTTGAGAAATCTGTCGAGAAAAATCCAATGTACATGAATTAATCTTTGAGATTTGAGAAGACATGTAAAAAAAGAAACCCTAGATTTTCATTTTGTTTTCTTTTCACCAAGATTGATTTCTGGGAATTGAATGGTAAATGTCTCCAATTTTTCTGGTGAAATGAATGCATCTTGTTTACAATTATGGATCCATGTTCTTGAATTTTAACATGTTTATGTTATGTGATGTATGTATGATCTTCCCCTGTTTTTCGTCTTGAAGAAAATGGGAAATTGCCATTGTTGATGCAAGAAAGATCCTTACTCTTTTCGTTAGGAAAGCAGTTGAGACATTGGATTCTGTAACGAGGGTTGGAATCTTGATCACGAATTCTTGATTCTCATATAGGAAGAAAGATCCAAACTTTTCACTATGATTGATAAGTTTCGGCTTTCAAGATTTATTTCTGCAATACTTTAGTTAGGCAGATAGAAAATCTTGATCACAAACGTTAGATTCGCGCATGTAGGAAGGTAAAAACTTTTCTTCAAACCGTCAAGATTTCGTGACCATGGATGATAGATTCGTAGGTAACGACTTGTGGAGTTAAGCACGAACCTTCTGATAGCTACCGGAGCTCGGGTAAGCATGCTTACTTTCACTCAAATGGCTATAGGATTGGTAGGAAACTTCTAATTCAGAATATTGGTTTTTGATTACAGATTGAAGGAAGACAAAAAAAAATTCCCATGAATACCCATGGGTTTCATTTCATGGGGTTAGCATGATTGAAGGAAGACAAAAAAAATTCATGGGTCATTGATAAGTCTCGATCTACAAGATTTTTAAGCGTAAACACTAAATTATGCGGGTAGGGATGGAATTGTAGCCGTTCCAACGACAAAAGATCAAAATTCCTAAGATCGCTGATAGGTTCCAATCTTCGGTATTTATTGACCTCAAACATTAGATTTGCACAATCAGCAGATTTTATTGTAACTTATTTTATAGTCATGTATAAGATCAAAAATCGCCATCATAATTAATGTGTGTTGATTTTGGTGAATGGTACTTGACGTGGTAAGATTGGTGTACATTCTACTTTCTAGATCCTACTTTAAAATCTGATACTGGGATATATTGAATTTGTTTGTTTTGGTTTCATCGTCTGTAGCCAATAAAGGTTGTCCATAAAGCTACAATGACAAACATGTTTGGTTTTTTTTTCTACACAATTAGTTGTTCTTTTCTCTTCAAGTTTGTTACTTTAAGAATCTTTTTACAAAATTAAGGCTGCCCACAACATCTTTCAACATCATGTATGTTTTAGCTGCGTTTAGCTTGAAACAGAACGTCAAGATTGGGTGAGTTGTAATCGTTGTTAGGGGCATCCACGTCATTTTCGATAAGGAGCTTGAATCCGTATGTTGTTATATTATTGGGGTGTGTATTTTTGCACATGAAACACATTTGGTTAGAATCTATGGCAGTTGCAAGCAAATCTAGCATTAAATTGTAGCCCATGGCTGGTTTGGTCCCCGCCTTCATGATCTGACTGCAATTCAACCGGTTCATTAATACCTTGGTTGAGCCATGGATACGAAAGGGTGAATGGTCTAATGGTATTTGGGTTATTGGTGTATCCCATGATCGAGGGTTCAAGATTTACGGAAGGTGAGGAGTGTTGTAAATTTGAACGACATCTCCAATGGTGAGACAAAAACTGTTATATTGTCACATCAGTTTGGAAAAAGAAAAAAAATCAGTTTATACCATTTTGAATTCATCGACTCTTTTTTATTATAGCTTTCGATTATGAAATGATGGATTGATTTATGATCGTGAATAAAAGTTTATAAAATGTGTAGAAAAAAGAAAAGAAAAATAATGTTACATAAGTTAAAGCGTATTTTGAAAATGTAAAAGATTAGCATTGATCTTGGTTGTTTGCATTTTCAAATGCATAGGGAATGGAATGAATGCCCAAAAAAACATCAACATTTAAAAATTTTAAAACTCCAATAAATACTTGAAAATTTCTTAAAATGAAAGTTCAAAATTCAAAATCTTTATAAAAAACTACATTTAGCTTTTTTAATTTGGAACCATTCTGTATATTTAATAATTTTTTTTTTTTTTAAATATCTGATTTTAAAGATTCTATTCATTCATAGCGACTAGTTTTGGCAAGTTTTTCAAATTTGAAGAAAGAATTTCACTCTAAATCAATTTTTTCTTATTTTCAAGAAGGGTTTAAAAAAATGTATTGAATCGAATTTTTGGGTGTGGAAGATGGTGTAATTTAGAGATAGAAACTTGAGATAAATTTGGACTGACATATCATACATCTTTAATAATAATGTATTCTGAAAATCATAAAATGTAATGGAGTTAAGCTCTTAAAAAATGTGGATATGGTGGAATAAAAGTGTTTTCAGAGCTTATTTTGTTTAATAAAACTAAGAAAGAACATAATAAAGCAAAGCAAATGAGCATGAAATGAAAGTAACTTAAAGAGAGCAAATTAATTGGGCAAAAAAACCACACTTGAATAGTAATGAGTAAGTAAAAACTAGACCAAAGAAAACAACACCAATTTCAAAAGCTAATAAAAATAATCTCTCTCATTCCTTTTGTTCCTCACTTTGCTTGGTGGCAGCTCCTCCTGCTTCCTTGATTTCATCACCTCCCTCATCCTGTTGCAAATGCATTTCATAACTTCATTTATTCAAATAAATCCCAACAAACAAAATCAAGAAAAATTGAGATTTTAGGGATTCTAGACAAGTTTTTTTGTTCCAGTAGATTCTCCAAAGATAGAGAAATGAGAGTGAAAATTCTCCAAAAACATTATGATTATCTATTAGAGAAATCTACTAAGATGGTGTTTCAATAAACTTCCAAGGGCTATTTTCTTTTAAATTAAATTTCAATTATGCTAGAATGGACTAATTTTTCTACATGTCATTTTACATTATCATCTACTTTATCAACTCACCACCCATTTTACTACTCTACACTTGGTTTTGAGTTTAAATAGTGTTTTGAGTTTAACACGGCATAAATAGGGATAGGGAAGGTTTGATCATAATTTGTTTATTTTTCACGATACAACTTACACAAGCTAAACTGAAAAGCAATGGGAGATCATCAAATAAAAAGAAGTTTATCATACCTGCATATCGGATGTCCACAAAGTAAGGTTGTCACGAAGAAGTTGCATGATCAAAGTGCTATCCTTGTACGAGTCTTCGCCCAATGTATCCAACTCAGCAATTGCTTCATCAAAAGCCTGCAAAAACACACACATACGTTATCCATCTTTATTTCGAAATGCTAAATTATCTCACTTTTAAAGCTTATTATACCTGTTTGGCAAGATTGCATGCGCGATCTGGGGAGTTTAAAATCTCATAATAAAACACTGAGAAGTTAAGTGCCAGTCCAAGACGGATTGGGTGTGTTGGGGGAAGTTCAGTGTTCGCGATATCCTACAAAATAAAAATAAAAAAGGTTTAAATTACAGATGCTTCAAATCACAGCCACGAGTTGTTATACGCTGTATTATGGCTTCATAAGAAATTAGAGCCCAGGTACGTCAAGTTCATCTACCATGTACTGCAGGCATGGAGATATGGAAGTTGAGTCACAAATGGTAAAATGTTATATGAAGAAATTAAAGGGTAGTTCAGTATAGCTACATGAAAGTACATCATCGTACATCTTCAACCTACTTTCACTTTCAGCGCTTCAAGTAGGGCCGACCATTTATTACTTACAATTTTTAAATTCATAAAGAAGAAGAAAACTGCTCTTCTTTATTTGGTAGTAATGGATGTCACCTAACTGTAAATTACTCCCACATTATGCAGGACAATCTGCAGCTGAATTAATAAATTTGACCCTTCAGTCGTAAGAACCAGGTACAGAAAAGGGAGACATCTTTATAAGAAAACGACATCATCTTTTAAAAGAAAATGACATCTTCTCAATAAGGGGATCCATCAATCATTCATTTTACCGAACATGGAAACAGAAGTATTCATGATACAGTTTTGGAAGCCGAGACTTTGTTGTGGAACAAACAATGTATTAAAGAGAGAATTGATGACACCATGGTTATATTATATGCAATAATGTATATGCACAAGTTGCTACAGTCAACAGATGATAGCAAGAAAAAGATTAGATATATTTAACCGAATCTATCAAGGAGCTGTTGTATCATCAACTCCACAGACAATGATAGAAACAACAAAGTGAGACTCAACAAAGTAATTGCTCAACTAGAAAGCTGCGATTCATCAGTTACATTCACTAGCAACATGCTTTCTAGTTTATTATTACTCCTTTAAATATCAAATTAGAGCACATATGGACTTCCAAGAATTACAAGTGCTACATTTCAACTCAAACATGATTCAATCAACTAGATTGTTTGAAGAAAAAGATGTGCTAAGTTATAAACATTTATATCAGTCTACAAAAATTGAGAGTATTAAGTTGCTAGGATTGAATATACATATATAAGCAACTCCAATTCAGGAACCGAATGACTGAATGTATATGCACAATTTCATACAACTGTGGTTCACATAAGTAAATCTAATACCGGATCAATTACGAAACCTAAATAAATGTTACTAGGAATTCCTAATTAACATATGCAGATCTACAGAGTCAACGAGGGCAGATCAAAATACTTGTTTAGATGCAAATTGAAAAGCAATTGCATAGGCTAAAAATGTTCGAAATTCCAAGTTATACTAGCAAATCTAGACACACGATTACATAAAAACGAAACAATCACATAACTTAAAGCAGCGACTTTCGTAGTCATTAAACTCCAAATCTAGAATCAACTAACCTGATTTTCAAGACGCAATTTTTATATGAAAATCTAAATATTCCATAATGGTCAATGACACAGCAAAAAAGCACAATATATCGCATAATTTTAAAGAAGAAACCCTAACCTGAGCTGCCTTATAAGCATTGAGGGTGCTCTCGGCGGCCTCTTTACGTTCACCGCCGGTCTTAAACTCAGCAAGGTAACGATGATAGTCTCCCTTCATCTTGAGATAAAACACTTTCGAATCACCGGATGACGCAGACGGAACGAGTTTCTTATCAAGCATCTTCAAGATCCCATCGCAAATGTCAGAAAGCTCCTTCTCGATCTTCGATCTGTAATTCTTAATCACAGACACATGATCCTCATTACCGCGTGACTCCTCCTTCTGTTCAATCGAAGAGATGATACGCCAGGAAGCACGGCGAGCACCGATGACATTCTTGTAAGCGACGGAGAGGAGGTTTCGCTCCTCGACGGTGAGTTCCTCGGAGTCAGAGAGAGCGCCGGAAACTTTCTCCATGAATTCAACCATCTCTTCGTAACGCTCGGCCTGCTCGGAGAGCTTGGCCATGTAGACGTTTTCGTCACGCGCCGGCGATGCCATGATTTCGAGAATGATCGGAAGAAGGCAGAGGGATCTGTTAGGTTTTGAATTGAGTTTTTAGAGAGAGAAAGTTGAGGAGAGAAGTGTGGAGTGAGAGAGGCGGAGAGAAACAGAAGGAGATTTTATATGCTAAAAATAGGCTGTTTTCCACCTCCCCTTGTAAAAAAAAAACTATTATTATAATATTTAATTAATATTGATTAAAAATTGAATTTTAATATATATATATATATATATATATATAATCTTTTTATAAAATTTATAATTGGACATGACAGAACTGATAAAATAATCAATTTATTTTTAGTAATGTGTTTATATGTTTTCTATAGTTTATGTGATTTATTAAAGTATAATAAAATAAATATTTTTATAACAAAATATATCATCAGAAAATTTTCAAACACGATTAAAAAATATGAAGTATACTAATTTTGAATTTTTATTTTATATATTGTTTTTTTATTAATAATATTTAATTAATTACATAAATTTTTATAAATATACAAATAATACTTTGAGGAAAATAAAGTGAAAGTTTAGAAATAATAAAATTTAAAAAACAGAAAAATGTAACGGCTTGGGACATATTTAAATATTTTAAAAGATAATTAAGTTTTATTTTGATGGTATGTTAGTAAGAAATATAAGATTGTTCTACCTTGTTCCATAGGGTGAGGGTGTAACATGTTTATTCCACTTTATTTTATTATATTCTTGTCTGTTTCACATAAAAATTATGTCAAACATGAAACAATGATCCCTATTAATTTTTCACAAGTGGTTAGAGTAAGAAATTTTTTAATAGATTATCTAAAATGAATATAATAGATATTTTAAACTATTTATTTGTTCAAACAAATTTCAATTTTAACTTTTTTTTATCTAAAATAGAGAAAGTGTGGGAGTTATAACATCTTCCACATATTTTTATGATTTAAAAAAAAAAATCAAAAGCTAAAAACTCAAAAAAGAGTTGCAATCAACTACACCAATTTTTATTTTAGAGTTTTTCTACCTTTTTTTTATTTTATTTTTCCTATTTTAGAGAATTTGTAATAGATTTTTTAAAAATTTATTTAAAATAGAAAACAGAACTCTAATATTTTTTGGAGTAAAATTACATTTTAACTCCAACATATTTTTCATTTTGAATATTACAATATTGATTATATTATTAAAATATTCATTTCATCTAATAAAAATATTACTCTCTCTAAATAGTTATTTTTAAAGTTTTTATTGTTGGAAATATATTATATAATATTCCTCTATCATTGTAATTGTCTTTGGGATGTTCTTTAAATTTGGAAATTTTTTGAGCATCTCCAACAGATTCTCTAAAACGAAGAAAATGAGGAAAATAGAGATTTTGAACTAAAAGTTGAACTTTAAAACATTACCTAAAAGTATCTCCAAAATTGAGAAAATATGAAAGAGAGAGTTTTTCACCAAAAATGATTACCATGTGAAAGAAATATTATTTTTATATTTCTATCAATAGGAAACTTTGAAAATAATTATTTAAAAACAAATAAGGTGATTTTAATATTATGATCAATGTTGAAATCTTCAAAACGAGAAATCTATCGGAGATGACTGTAATTTTTTTTTTTATAGATTTCAACTTTTGAATCTCATTTTAAAGAAATTTTAGGGAATTTGTTGCTCTTACACACTTTCTCATATTTTTTCTATTTTATTTTGAAAATTTTGTTGAAGATGCTTTTTAGGAATCATTTGAAGCAAAAAAAAAAAATCTTCATTTTCTTTATTTAAAAAATCTGTTAAATATGCCTTGATAAAAAAAATCCTGAACTTGAAAAATTCTCTAAAATTAAATGTTTAAGATAAAAAAAATGTTTTTTTTAATATGTTTTTTTCACCAATAAAATTAAATTTGCTATTATTATATGTATATGTGAATTAAAATATTTTAGTTATGTAATTATTGTTCAGTTATTTAAAATAGAGAGTTTGTTACAATTGATTCCAATGGTTTTTGCAGATATTTTAATTTATTAAAAAGAAAGAAAAAAAAATTGCATTAATATTTCTCTATTTTATTATTCATATTAAATACATTTAATAGTTTTCTATAAACTATTGTTTCTTTTTTTTTTCTCTCTTTCCCCCTTCTTCTCCTCTAAAATAACTAAAAAAGCAATTAAAATAGAATTTTTCTGTCTCCTACAAATATAGAAAAAGTTTCCTCTATTTTCTCTCTCTTTTTGAAGTATAAATGTAGAAAACCCCCAAATCCTCACTTTATTTTATTTTAAAGATTTTGTTGTTGATGCTCTAAAATTTTATACTTATTACATCATAAAGATACACAATAATTATTATAGACATTGTCTAGCAAACATAAACAATCAGCTTATAAGTTTTTGTTTTCACTTTTTACCAATTTTAATTCTTATTAATATTAGAGTTATTATTTATTACTATTAATTACAAATAAATAGTAAAAAAAAGTATTACTAACTTTCATGTTTTGTGGGTTGGGAATTTAGATGTTTTTGAATCTTCAAATTTTGTTTTT